GGATGGATTAGGTCCAAGGGAAGTCAGTGGATGGGTTATACAGGAAATAGCGATGCCAAGAATTATGACAGAAGTGATATTGTACAGCTTCACAGAAAGGAGCTAAAATCAAGGAAGGATGGTGGGGAGAATAGGAGACCGTTAGTTGGAAGGGCAATGGATAGAAAGTTTAATGACTTGAGATTTTAAGCTAGACATTTAAGAGAGAAGGGAGGGAGGATGATCTGGAAGCTGTAATGAGAAGCAAGGAATTCACCCACCCCAAATGTAGGAAGAATGCTGGAAAGAAAGCCAGCAGTACTTGCAAGGGCTGGTGGGGAAGAAGTGTCCTCAGATGAGAGCCAGATTTCAGCCAGATTTCAGTCTGAGCAAGAGGCCGAGGAGGGTATTAACAGAAGAAGTTGAGACTAAAAGGGGTTCACTAATGATTGATAGCAAATTCCAGAGGGAACAGTAGAAGGGTTTCAGAAAGTTGGGAATGGGTTGGAAATGGGGTCAGAAGAAGGAGGGTACAGAACCATATGGGGCTTGGAGTCCACAGGATGAAGGATACACTGAAGGTCTGGGGCTTCTTGTGGTGTAAAACATGAATAGGGAAAAGGACATAATTAGATTAGATATGGTGGTCTCAAGGCAGACCCTGATGGCAAAGTTCTAAAAATTACGGGGGCAAAGAGGGTCAGGGTATTATCAGGAGCACACAGAGTTCTGAAGTCCTCTCTTCACTCTCTGTGATGGAGATGCGAAGGCTAGGGTGGAACAGCTTATCTGGTACATGAAACTCTGGGACTACCCTTTTATTCTTGAGGTGATGGTGTAGAAGTTGGAGAAAGAGAAGCAAGATACCCACATACAGTAGCTCAGGTTGTGCATATTACAATTCAAGGGTGCTCCATTTACATAGACTCTAATTTGACTGGCACCCCTAAAGGAGTGCAATGTGACTGCCCTGGAAAAACACACTCTCCATAGTACCTCAAACACATTGTATCTGCAAACTTATTGCGTTGCTGAAATTCATTATTCATCTTGTCAGGAAACTGAATTCCTTACAAGCAGGAACCTCTCTCTCTCTTCTGGCTCCTGACAAATAGTAGGCTCTTGGAATAGGTGTTGTTAGCTCTTAATTCCTGAGTCTTAACCATCATGGCCTCAGAGATACAAAAATATCTTGGAACCTTGAAGTGGAAATGCAGAACCTCTTTCTTTCTTTTCTCAGGATACATCAGGAGCATCCTCTATTTTCCCCCCATGTGTTCACAAGCTAATCAGCAGATTCTGCAGCTCTTCCTGGGCTTGGCATGGAATGTGGAGGGATTTGCTCACTGATGACATCAGCTTCATTTATCTGTGTCTCAGCACCATAAATCTAACAGATGCAGTGGTGCTATTCCAAGGCCCTGGGCCTGTTTTGTTTCTGTTTTCCTTCTCTCTCTGAAAGTTGATAGCAAATATCCCATTCCAGTCCCTTTTCTCTTTTGGCTTCTGTAATTATTCCCCAAACAGTATAGTTAAATGAATGAATGAATAAATCAGAATTTTATCTGACAAATGCAAGAGTTGCTAAAGGTGAATGAATTATTTGAGCGCCACTGCTCTTAACAAGTGAGAATTCATTTTTTATAACTGTTCTTTCCTGAGTAACTTTCAGAAATACACTGTAGCTGAATGCAGGGTATGTCTCTGATGCAAAACTCCAGCCAGCCATGTTTCCTTTTTTTCTCCTTTTTTCAGGGAGAAGGTATCCTCCTACATCTGACTACTGTTAAGAGATTTGAATCACATCTGCCTAAGAACCAAACTGTCTTGCCCAGAGCGCCTCGTTTTCTCGTATGGATGATATTCTTCTTGTCCTAGGCACCTATCTGCCATAAACAGAAAAAAGTAAGGGGGTAACAGGACCAGTGTGTTGAATATTGACTAAAATTATAGAAGCTCCCCTATTTTGTCTATCTTAGGTCTTTATGTTGAAGTGTTATTTCTCTTTAATTCTGTTTTACTTACAAGATTTCCTTTTATTTGGCCTATGCTTCTTACATGTTACGATCTCCGAGTAAACTTTAAAAATCTTCACTAAAAGATGAAAGAATCAAAATCCTGATGAACTATCTAATTTGTGTATATTTCATTGATGTGGTGCTTCAGTGACAGACAACTTGGAACATTTAGGGCAGAGCAGGTTTTCTGTAAGCCAGATTTTTTGGTTTTTGGTAATGATATTACATGGGCACTTTGCTAATGCAGAGGAGAACCTGAGAAAACGACATCTCTGAAAATGATTATGGAATTATTATATTTGTAAAAGCCTTCTCTGGGCATTACTGGACAAATGCTATGGTCATCTTGGAAATAGAAAGTGAGACTAACTTTTGAAATTTTCTGATTTGCCCAGTTGATTTCAGGGTCCTTGTTATTCCTAAATCCCAACTTTCAAATCTCTTATCTCTATGCATTTTGTACAGATTCTCCTCCTTTGTTCTTTTTGGAAATGGGGGCGGGGCAATGTATTTCCTGGTGGCTGGGCCTTGTAGGAATCAAGCTTAAGTTATAGGAGAGAAGAGAAAAGGCATGTAAGAGAAAAGACAGAAAACTGCCTAGGAACCAGAGATTTTAATAGGCTCAAAACCAAATTTTTGAATCATTGGATTTAGGTGATAAATTAATTTCCATGGAGGTAAGACATATGTCTGCTTCTTAAACTTCCACATTGGATGTCACGGGAAGAAGGCACACCAGATTTGTACAATTGTACAAATTTGGCATGTGCATTCCTAAGTAAGTTTTCACCAGGCCGAACCTTTGAGGGGTATACTGGAGGTTGCTGGGGGACCCGGACTGGCTGGCATGGCCCTTTGGGGAGACCAAGTTGGACTGGGGATCACATATCAGAGAACTTCAGAGTCTTGACCTGAACTGCACTCACATATCTACTTAAATCAAAGCTAGAAGACGTGCAGTTAGAACTAAATGAACTTAGGAAATACTAATTCCCTAATAGGAATTAATGGTTCAGGTTGATGATCTTTAAAATAAGGGGAAACATTGTGGCAAAGTAGAATGAGTAAGAGAGGGACCCAGGCCAGGTTTGAATCCTGACTCTGTTCCTTGCTAGTAGTGGTCTTAGACAAGTTCCTTAAACTTTATGAACTATGTGTTCCTTACATGTAAAATATCTTTTCACTGGGTCACAGAACTATTACAAACCAATAAGAAAAAGGCCAACAATCAATAGAAAAATGAGCAAAGAGAATGAAAGAAAAGGACAAGGACCTTTCCATAGAAAGATGGTCAATCTCACAAAAGGAATGAAATAAATTAAAAATAAAGCAATGAGTTATCACTTTTCCTCTATCAGAGACCCAAGTTTGAAGAC